GGAACTCAGCTGAGAAGAGCAAGAGGCAATGGAGGGATACAAATCGAGATGAACAGTGGCTGACTCGGCAAAACTGTTAAATGACTTTGCAAAAGACCTGTCACAATGGATAAACGGTGCCGCCTGAAAAGCAGCTTAGCATTTCTGCAGTGCACGCGCAATTATTTTCCTGGGTAAGACTGAGAGGAAGGAGAAAGGGAAAGAAAGAGAAAGGCGATCAAAAGGCTTCTTCATAAATCTGCAGACATTTCTCAATAAGCAGTCAGGAGGCGGAAGACCAAAAGAAAACTCAAAACAAAGAATGCACGGACTTTCTTATAAGCGCCCATCGCTGGGCAAATGTCCACCATTTCTGCTCTCCTTTGCTCATGAAAAATCGTTAAATTGCTCTGTGGATATTGACTACACTCTAATTGTTTTTATGGTAAATTACACATCAAACTTATTGTCCAAAACCTACAATATCCAAAGGGCTCAGGCACATTTTGTCTTGCCAATTGGATCTCTCACAGGGATTGAAGCTATGTAGGGGATTTAGGAGACATGAAATACTTGGCATTTCTTTAAAGCAAAATTTTAGGGAAATGGCCTTTTTTTCCTAGTATTTCTTTTGGTGTAGTAACAAGAGAAATTAACAGATAAGAGAAATCCTGTTATAGCTAATGACTACAACTAGCCTTTGGAACCATTCATCTCACTTCAATCCATTTCATATACACGGAATCAGAATTTACACAAGATCCCCACATGGTTCTTATGTATCTTGTTAAAAAGTAGATTCCGATTCTATATATCTGGGGTGGAAATGCAGAATTTTTTTCAGTAGAGGTTGAATCAAAATGAACCCATCCACATTCCTGATTACAACACACCCCAAGAAGCAGAAAAAATGTCCTAAGATAAATAGAGTTTTTGAGAAACATTAGTTGTTGTTAGCTGCATCAAGTTGAACCCTTGACTGATTGTCATGACATTTTTTCTAGTTTATCTTTGTGTCAAAGCTCCACTGAAACTTGTTTACCAACAAAGTAACAAACACCATTCATTTTTAAGTGGTTGATGGTTGTGTGTTAGATGTGTTGATCGGAAATTGAACTTGGTTCTCATATGAAAGCTGAGATAGTTACCACTGAATCGATACTGTTGTTGTTGTTGTTGTGTACTCTTGAGTCAGAACTGACCCATAGCTGACCCTTCGGTGGGTTTTGGGAAACAGTTAGTCATTGGGAGGCAATTGTCCATCTTTCTCCTCTGGAACTGCTGGTGGATCCAAGATGCATGACTTCGGGATTGCAACACAGCTTCTTATTACTAGGCCACCAGAGCTCCTTCTAGTAGGATAAAGCTGACTCACAATTCACCATCTCGTCTTTTTTTCAGAGGCTGTAAATTACACAGAAGAGGAGATTGCCCATCCTTCCCCTGCACAGTAACTGGTGGATTTGAACTACTTGCCTTTGAGTTATCAGTGCAACTCCTTACTACTACGCCACTAGACCTGCCTAGTAATAGCAGTTAGACTAATTTTATTTCCATACAGACTCAACAGAATATTCAACTTCCCTCCACTAATTATTATACCTCATTATTTAACCTTATTCACCAGAAACAAATTTAAAGGTACTTAGTTTACTGCTGGTGTCAAATCAACATATTTTATTTTATTCTTACATCTCTGCCATCTTTTAATGGTATGAGGTAATTGGCCAGAATTCTTGAGGGTCAAGACATTTTTACAGTGATTTTTCCACTTATCCTCTATTTTTAAGTTCTCTGTGCAAGAATTGCAATTTATTTTGATCAACGATTTCATAACGAATAAATAGTGTATGTGTGTCATAATTAAGATGCCAATCTTCTTTTTACTAACCTCTCCCAAATTCTTGCCTCCCAACTCAAATGAAAATCTATTAAAAATACACATATTAGTCATATTTTATACATATATCTTGTCCTTAATGATTTACACCTGTTTAAGGAGGGTCAGAGATTATGGGAAATTTAGAGTTGAAATTTGAAAGTCCTTGGCTATTTGTCATTGATACCATAATATTCAGTTATTCAGGGAAGGGTGAAGGACAAATAATATGATCTTCTTATGACAACCAACATAGCAATATCGCATTTAGATTCTGACCCAAAATTCTTTAGAACTTGAATTAGAAATGGCATTTCTTTGATAGATTTCTTTTTGTTCTAATTTACAGGCAACGAATCCTCACTGCACTGGATCAAACAGAAGGACACAATCAATCCTGAGAAAGGAAGTTCTGCCAGGTCTACTCAATCTTTCCTCAATGAGCAGCAGAGACGGGGGAGGAAAGGAAGAGAAAAGACTCAATGCACCTGCACTGAAGAAAGCTCAGAAAAGGGGGCGGGGGAGAAAAAAAGACAAATTGAAATAAAGATCATGCCAGGAGGGAGCCCTTGCTGTCAGAAGGAGAGGCAGAAATGCCACAAAGATGCCAAACATGGCAAATCTCCAGGTGCTGACTGGTACAAGACGGGAGCAGGGACTATCGGAAAGGTTCTGATGTCAAATAAAAGAAACAAGGGGCAATGTCTCTCAAAAGAAGAGAGCTCTGGGTTTACTTAGGGATCCATAGTCTATGATCTATAACACAATGAAGAGCGAGTTAATTATTGCATTTGGGTAATTAAGTCTTAGAGAAACTAGTGTCTTCCAGAGTAATATTAATTTATGCCACTGGTTCTTCCTAGCATGACTAGTTATTTGCTGTGAAGTTGCACTGGAACATAAGTCTTACTGCAGCAGAGGAAACTAAATGAAAATGAACTAAAAATAAGATGGCCTCTATATTAATGGGTTCCTCTCTGCCTTCGATATGAACTGCATGATGAAATCCTTCCTCATTTACCAACAGACACCGTCGATCTCAGCTATTCTGTTTTCCCATCCATTCTTCTCAAAGTAAAGGCAATCTTTGTCCTACCTTGTTCATTTGTACTCCCACAGAGGCAATATTTCTCTCCTTCATGCCCCTTAGATTTGTTTTGGTATAGCTGAAAATACTTGTATATACAAGAAGGAATATCAAGAGGATTTGGATGTTTCTCTCCTCTTTACTCATTAACTACTCTCACAGTTCTTCAAAATCCTTGCCATGGTTACAGAAACAGGTTTTATGAGCAAATATGATAAATATCATCAGGGAGAAATAAATGGTACAAAGATTCTGCCAAATACAGCCAGAAATGCACAATCTGGAGAGAATAAAATTGATGAATGTGACCTTCTAAAGATTAAATCCTGTGTGCATCAAAACCTTTTCCCAGCAAGGTGGAAAAACAATCTCCTGATTGGGAAAAACATTTGACAATACCATTTCAGACAAGGGTCTCATACCAAAAGTTTACAGAATTCTACAGAGCCTCCACAAGAAAAAGACTGATAAGACAATTAAAAAATGGACCAAAGTCATGGGAAGACTTTCCACAGAAGAAGATATTTGCATTACCAACAGATACAAGAAAACACACTCTAATTACTGGCAATAAGAAAGATGCAACTCAAAACCACAATGAGATACTATTTCACCCCAGCAACAGTGCCGAAGTTTAATAGGACAGAAAGTGATAAATGTTGGAGAGGATGTGGAGAGATAGGAACTCTTATATACTATTGGTGTGATTGCAAAATGGTACAACCACTCTGGAAGGCAGTTTGGTATTTCCTCAGAAAGCTGAACATAGAAATTTCATATGACACAGCTATACTACTGCTTGGAGTATACTCTGAGAAAATGAGAACTGAGGAACAAACAGAGACTTGTACACAAATGTTCATAGCAGTGTTATTCACCATCACACAACCAAGGGAACAGCCCAAATGTCCAACCACAATCGAATGGATTGAGAAATTATGGTACATTCACATGATGGAATATTACACAGCATGCAGGAACAATGATTTTGTAAAATCATTACCCAACCTGGGAGATACTGGAGAGCATTATGCTAAGTAAACTCAGTCCCAATAAGGACAAACACTATTGTAGAAATAGATAATAAAACGAGAATGAGGACCTAAGGGAGGAAGGTGGGAGCATAGGGGTGAGGATAGATGGGGGGCATAATCACAGGGCTGAGCAATTTGATGGGTGGAGGGAGTGTGGGTTAAGGAAATAGGGAAGATCCAGTGTGAAAAACAACGTATATGAATTTTGTAGGCAAACCAATATAAAATAAAAAGTTTATATAAAAAACTGTTGTTCTTAAGTGCTGTCAAGTTGTAGGCAACTCATAGCAACCCTATGAATGGAAGTCCTCAACACTTGTGTGACTTTCATCTTTTCTCCAAATTCATAGAGTTTCCAGAGGCAAGCTATTAAGGAAGTGGATGCCACTCCTGCTTTCAAGCTTGCTTTAATTGGAGAGTTCCAACAAACTGTCCTCCATGGGTAACCATTAATGCATTTGACACATCAGTGTCACAGTGTTCAGCTTCACAGCAACCACAAATAAAAAAAAATAAATACTCCCTGAAGTTCAAGAAAAAGAAAACATTAATGTGTAAGAATTAAAAAAAAAGAAGACTAAAAACACTTCTCATCATCAAATGCAAAGATATTGCTGGTATTTAGTTTTGTTATTGCTATTTTTATTGCCAAATAATGCATTTCAATTACTATTGGTTCACATGTAAACATATAACTGGTAATATACATGTATATAGATATACAAGTGAGACACCAAGTTGACTCTTCTTTATCACAAGCAAAATGTTACTGATACATTTTTGAAACAGATGGAGCTTTACACTTTCATACATGTATAAGGGAATCCTTCTTGTCTTTAAAAGAAAGTGGGAATATCCCACTTACGGCATGTCAATAATGAACTACCATACCTAATTTCAAGAGCAAGTCTTCAGAGTTTTCTCTTTGTGAAATGTCCCTAGGTCCACATCACTTTAATTCTTAAGATGTTCTCTAGTGAAAGCAGAGAGGGCCAACTTTCCTCTTTGCCCCCTAAGCATCTTACCTCTGGAGGTGGTAATCCAGAACCTCTGACTCTGCATTCAACACAGCTGATGCACGGGCCAGGAGTTGATGACTACAGCTTACAGATTTGAGTTCCAAGATGAGGAGGCCCAAGCAAAACATGGCTCCCATCTCCTCCAATTCACAGGTACCAAACTGTCGACCCTGGTGGTTAAAGAGAGAAGTCAGTGATTGATGTGAACAAAGCAGTCATGATCTGAAATTGGAAAGAATAACTTCTGTACACATTACTGTCACAAAAATAGAGGCTTTTTTTGAGGGTATATCAATTTTTGTCCAATTTATCTTTCCCTCTTTCTTGTAAAAATGCTCATTTTTACAGAATGTAACATAGTCCTAAGGTCTTCATGTTTTAAAGTATATTTCTCTTACATTTTAAAAATAAAGTTTATATCCAAATTATAAAAATAAAGAGAACAGAGGAAAAATAACAAGAACTTGAAAATTTTATTTATAGACATACCAGGGGAAAAAGAAAATTTCAAATTAGAAAATCAAGTGTCTAAAATACTATGAGATATGATGTTACCCTAAAAATAATAGCAAAGTTCAACAAGGCAACAAACAAAAAATGCTGACAACAAGGTAGTGGAACTCTTACTCATGCTGGTGGAATATAAAATAATATATGCTATAGAATTTATATTTCCAACATTTTTTGTATGATGATTCTTTCATAATTTTTTTCTCTTTTTAAAATTTTCTATTAGCTTATTTACAAAATTTGAATACATAGTTTTCAAGAACAAATCATTTCAAATTCCCTCACTCTCCTACCCATCATATCATACAACCCCCCACTCCCGCCCCTGCACATCCTCATCCCTCGGCTTCCAACTTCTCCTACCCCTCTTGGATCGTTATTCTAAGATAATGGTTTTATACAATATTTATCCTTGTGGGACTGAATTAGTTCACTCACCATAATGCTCTCCAATCCCTCCCAATTTAGGTAATAATTTACAAAATCATTGCTCCTGCGTGTTACATAGTATTCCATTGTATGAATGTACCATTATTTCTTAATCAATCCGTTGATGTTGGGACATTTGGGCTATTTCCATGTTCTTGAAATGGTGAATAATGCTGCTATGAACACTGGTGTACAAATCTTAGTTTGTGCCTCAGTTCTCATTTTCTGAGGGTATATTCCAAGTAGTAGAATAGCTGGGTCATATGGAATTTCTATGTTCAGCTTTTTGAGGAAGTGCCAAACAGCCTTTCAGAATGGCTGTACCATTTCCATTCCAGAAAGTGCTGGACTGCCACTATAGAAGGTCGTTCGGTGCTTTTGAAATGTTGGAAATAGAAATACTATTTGACCCAGCAATCTCATTATTGGAAATATACCCTAAAGAAATTAGAGTCACGAATCCTACAGATTTGTACACAACTATGTTTATTGTTGCATTATTCACAATAGCAAAGATATGGAAGCAATCCAAATTCCCATCAACAAACAAATGGATAGAAAAATTATGGTTTGTTCACACAATGGGATATCATAGAGCATTGAAAAACAATGAACTTTTAAAACATTATACAATATGGGGGAGCCTAGAGAACATTGAGTGAAATATCTCAGTCAAAAAAGGATAAATACCTGCATACTACTGCTATTATAAAATAGAACAGACATGAGGGTGGTAGAGAGAGAATGGGAAAAGAGTGGATAGATAATAACACTGCAATAGAATAGATGAGGGGAAGAATTGTCTAATATATGATGAGACATTATACGTATGACAACAATCTGGAACAAAGGTTCATTGTAGTTAAGGTTGGCAAGGGAAAGGCGAGGGAGGAAAATGGGCAACAATGAATTAAAATAATATACAAAAAATGAATGCCTGAGTAAAAGGATAAATGAGAAAAATTAAGTACTCAAATTTACTTCAGCTATTGGAAAAATTTATTTGGCACATGTTTTGACAGTTGTTTTCTTGAAGAAAGGAGATATTGCTTCAGAGTTAAGGGAAGTTTGTCCTTCCGTAAACAAGAGCAGTACAAGGAGAAAGATATTTTGAACAATTTTTTGTTAATATCAGTAGGAAAAAAATCCTTCTTAAAGAGAGAGAACAATCTCAGTATTTTACTGTGTACTAAATGCTAAGATTAAGTTCTCTCCACTAGCCTTCTTTCTTGTTTTTCTTCATTCTCAAAGGGCTATCTTCATTGGGAGAAAATAAATAAAGGCACAACCTCCTAAGTTAGCCACCATACTCTAAAATTAATGAGGGAATGTGCACAAGGTTTTAACCCCTCATGGGCAGGCAGCATACCTATACTCATTTTTGATAACAGTGCCTAGTAGAACACATAATAGAGTTTGGTGGCTGACACAAAGCTGTGATACTAGAAACTATACCACCAGTATTTCAAAAACACTTTCTGGGCACCCTTGATGAAAAGATATCAGTAGAGAGTCTATATTACAACACAGTATGAAGAAACTACTGGCAGCCCATTTTCCAAAGAAAATAGCCAGTGAAAATTCTGTCGATCACTATATAATATTGTTCAGTGCAGTTCTAAAAATGAGCTTCCTAAATTAGGAAGCAACCATGAATACAAGCATGTCAGGGATAATGAAGATGACAGGTCAAAACTCAAACTCCTTGTCATCAACTTGGAACAGACTCAGCTAACTCTCCATCCATTTATATACAAGGATATAAATTGCATTGGTGTTGTGTATTGTCAAATCAAAACTAACTCATAATTGATCCTTCAGTGAGTTTTCAGAGGTAGTTTAATCACATTGGAGGAGATTTCTCATCCTACTCCCAGAAAGCAGCTAGTGGATTTGAACTACATGCCTTCAAGATTGCAAAGAAGAAAAAGATATACTATCTCTCTTCTGGGGAGCCACCAGATGAATTGAACAACCAGAGAAGTGTGGTGTTTGGGTTAACAACACAGCACCCTACAGACTATACTTCAAGAGCATAGACTTATGTAATGGTTCATTTTGTTGTAAAAAGAATCATTTTGATTTGGTAAAAACTGACCACAAAAACAACAAAAAGATTAAGTCTTTGGAGGAAACAAATTTCATTGAATGCGCCACACCACATCGATATATCCTGAAAAGCATGTCACACCAGTCAATTACAAAATAAAAAATTAGATGAAATGATTTTTATAAAGCAGAAACATTTTCATACACATTTTCATTCAAATATTGACCCACTTATTTCAGAAAGTAGTTACAATAATGAAAATACTAGTCTAGAAGAGCTACAAACTTGTACCGTTTAATAGCTGTGAAGTCTTGGACAAGTCATCTTATTCCATCCTCTGTTATTAATCTGCCTTCAATAATCAATGTGTTTATTATCACACAGTTCATAAATATTTTTCCTATGGATGAGCTTCTGTAAGTCCCTGTTCCTGCTCTACGAGAGAAATTATCAAAAGCAAACACTAAATTATATTTGCTTCTTACATAATTTTATATCTCTGTCATGGAAGACACAATCTGTCATATAGCTTATCTTTGACATATGATTAACTCATAAATAGATGGCTATAAATAGGTAACTGCAGAGAGTTAGAGATAAATTGTAGCTTGGAGAAATATTGTATTTGTCAAGTGAAATTTGACTTCTCTATGTAATAAGGGTATAAATGACTTCAAATCCTGTGTTCCCATTGTCAGGTGTCATGAGTCTGCTTTTTTTGGCATTTGCATCTCTGAATATTGTCAAGAAAACAGATGAAATTTTTATCTCTATCTTAGTTTTCATGCAATGTTAGAAATCAATGTGATGTATTACTTTTAAAGAGGGTATTATTAAATAGAGGTCCAATACTTCCACTGTCCCCAGATGAGTTATGTTACATATCGTGCCTCCTGCTCTCACTGCAGAAAACCTGTAGTGGCTTAAATAAATTATTTTTGTTTTAATTTGCCCTCATAGGATTATTTCTACAACTTAATCTCAAGACCACTCTAGCCACCATTTTCCTGGCATCATCAAAATATGCTCAAGTCACCGTATCTTCATTCAAAAATGGAGGGGGGGGGGAAGGAAAACAGGCAGCAGAAGACTCCTGCTTATATTTTATTGGGGAACCATGTAGGAGAGCTACCTCGGCGTGGGTGGAAGAGAGTACAGGAACTGAGAATTTCAGTTAAATCAACACTTTAGAGTAGACAGTGTCTACCAACCAGCATTCAGATTCCAATGCTGCTAGAAAATACAGTGCCTGGACAGACATAGTATAAGTCATCAGTACTCACTGGCACACTCTTTACATTGCAGTGACTTTTGCAAATAATATATTTTTAAAAAACCAATTCACCTATATATTTGACAAAAAAAAAAAAATTAGTTACTAACCTTCTTATCAGGTATTTTTTAAATATCGATACAAAAAGGTATTTTTTTTAATTCCATAGGATTTAGAAAAAAAACCCAAAATTGATCTCCAAAAGGTAAATTTTAAAAGCAGTAATGAGCTCTGGTGGCCTAGTGATAAGACGTTGGGCTGCAACCCTGGAGGTATGAAATTCAAGGCCACCAGTTGCTCTGTAGGCAATCCATGCCTATGTGATTAACTGCTTCTGAAAAGCCACTGGAGGGTCATCTATGGGTCGGTCCCAACTCTACAGTATACAACAACCACAACGCCAACAATTAATGCTCAGAGTAAAAAAAAAAAATTCATGAGAGGAAAGTACTCCCATGTATTACTTAGGTAATAAAACGTTTTTAAGACACAGAAAATTGACAAATATATTGAAATTATAATACTCAGTTCTTAAGTGTTAGGTGCTCGACTGACTGTCAGTTGTATACTGTGGCAGCTTTTAGTATGTCACGCCATTGAGAAGAATGGGAATAGGAGAACCTATAATCATGCTCGTGTGAAAACCTATATTTAAACAAAGACTCCATTGCCCAAACAGAGCAAGAAAACATGCATGTTTTAAATTAAAAAAAGGTATATGTTTACGGCATTGAAATCTATGCGGGAGAGAATAGTCTAAAAGTATTATATTTTAGGGCATTATTTTTATCGTAGGAGTATGCAATGAGG